GGGGGGGGGGGGCACGGAAGCGGCGGCGGCTGGCACGCAGGCGGCGGGGTTGCGTGACCTGCCGGCTTGGCGCCGCACGCGCTTCGTGCACACCCGGCCCTCCCGGGCCTGGCCAGCTGCCGGCGCTCTGGGCGGGAGGCGCAGGTGCTGGAGGGCGTGCCCGCCTTCCCGGTTTACAGCCCCAGCGGGGAGAGCAGTCACGCTACATTTCCGGGACGGGGAGTCAGGTCATGCTAGGAGGACACGGCGTCTCCTTGTTATCAGGACGTGGGTAACATTCGGTAATAAAAGCCACTCAGACAGGGTGCACTAACCGAACCGGGAACCAGAACTGCTCTGTCAATAAGCAATCATGCCGGGGAAAATCTCCAAGCAAAACTTTGAAGAGGCATGGCGCGTAGGTGCAGTTCTTGAGACGGGCTTACACGGAAAGGAGCCGGAGCAGGGACCGCGAACGGTGCAGGCCGGCGGCTTTGGGGCGCGAGTCTTGTCCACACTGCACAAAGATTAATAACAGAGTCGTGATTTTGTGCGTGTGTCATTCCTCCCGGAAGCCTTCTTTCCAATGTTTTATTTTAAAATCAGAAGTGCCTGGTCTCCCTAGCATACTAACTGGGGAGACCTTTTTTTAATGTGGTGACTCAAAAGCCCCAAGGGCATTAAAAAAAGGTCTCGGACTTTATAAGATGCCAGAATCTAAACTTTCTCAATATTATGTGAGCAAAACAATGCTTTTCGCCCAGATGACCAATAAAGTTGGAGCTAAGTTTGTAATTTTGTCATGTTGCCTTTGACCAATTCTGAGCTCACTTTGGAATTAGCAGTCTCGGGTAGACTTCCTTCTTATCAGCCTTTCAGACGAAGTGCCTATTCTCCCACAAGCTTTCATGGGGGTCGGGGGGGTGGCGGGGCAAGGGAGAAGAGGAGGAGAAAAACTACTGACTAAAATGAACGGGATGAATGACACGGCCCTGCTAGATAAATATCTTCGGTAAATTCGTAACAGAAACAAAAGTACAGACGCTGTGTTCTCCCAAACATCAATACTACAACACAAAGGTCTGCAGACCAGGTAGAAAGCCCCAGTCTGACAATCACCACCTTAGAAAGACTCCGCTTCGAGAGCTAGAGAGCGTTTTCATTTTCTTTCAGAGGTCACTGACCCACAAGGGAAAAAAGAGTAATCACGGGCCACAGAAGAAGTTAAGAGAAACTTAATTTGGTTATTACTGGATTTTGTTTGTTTGAGAGTCACAGTCAAATGTGAAACTTAGCTGATTTAAAAATTAAGAACAGGATAACACAAAACTTCATCCAGTATGCCCAATTATGGGAAGGTTTTAAATGATACTTTGGAACCAGTATGGCCAGTAATGGAGTGGGGAAAGAAATGGAAAAACAAAAAGGGTAAGGAGAGGAACCTGGGAAGGTAGATAAAGGGAGAGACTGAGACCAACAGAGAGAGCTGAGAAAAAAACAGACCAACACAGCAGAGAGGCTTGATGGCTTCCTAAGGTTTTTAAACCCTATTTTGTAATAGCCTGCCCCAAGTTTTCATCTGGGCTGTGCGCTTCAGCAATAACACTTCTTACTGCTACCCTTTAAAAAAGGCTATTCTTTACAACTTAACTCATTACCTGGATCTACTGTTGTCAAATAGAACTTTCTACCGTGATGAAAATGTTCTATATCTGCGCTGTCTTGTGCGTAGCCACGTGTGACTACTGAGCACCTGAAATGTAGCTAGTGCAATGAAGGAACTGAATTTTTTGTTTTATTTAATTTCAGCCAACTTAAATAGCCACATGAAGCTACCTTATAGGACAGTACAAGTCTAAAGGGACGTTTATGGTGGATGGAAAATTGGTCTCAAGTGTAATTAATGTGCAGATGAATAAGAACAGAGAAAAATCAAACCACACAATGTTTCCTTTCCTTATAATATGCACCTACTCCTCAATTATCGACTATCTCATTATCCGGTATTTTGCATTTACGACAATAGAGAAAAATCTACTATCCGACTATTTTGCGTATTAGCAACACGCCTGGCAGTAACCCTTTCATGACCAGCAGGACATAGAGCACCCACCTACATTATCCAACTCTCAGGTCCAGAGGGATATATGTGTCCCACACAATATTTTGTGATCTGATGTGGTCATCCTCCATTTTCACATAACACTGGTTTTTGCCTAACAAACAACCTGGTCTTTGGAATCTAACCTTATCGATAGGAAACACTCAATATTATTATTGCTAATAATCATACTACTAGCTAAACTGGCCTCAGAACAGAATGATCTTGCTTTAGGGGAGCATTTCCTGTTCCAGATAAAGCAATGAATGGCTCTGGATGAACTTTTTTTTTTGTGCCCTGTATCTAAACCACCATTGTTACAAAATGAGAACAGTGCTACCTATCCTGTCCCTCAAAGGAACATGATTAGGAGGAATAGCTCTGAAAGCTCTGTGCATGACTCATGAGCATGCTGTACTCTGACCACTTGGTTGGTTGCCCTTTGCTCTCCCTAATCCCTTCTTCAATCCTCTCTTGCTTCTCTGTCCCAGATGAAGAAAGAAGCCCTCTTTGAGGGTGTGGAAACAGAAAAGCACTGGTAGGCGCTGGGGCAAAAAATATCAATCAGGTTACATGTACAGGTACATCATCCAGATTTTAAGTGCGCTGAAGAACGAGGCTTTTAGGAAGTGTTCTGCACTTCATGCTGCCATTCCCCCCCAATAAACAGCTGTCAGTTGGCAGTATGACTACTGTACCAGCGCTGCTCTGCTCCCTATCATTTGATCACTTCTCTAAATCTACAGGCTTTATGAATTAATTTCCTTTGAATTTACTCAACCTTACTTCATTCAGCAGTGACAAGTTTATTTCTCAGCTAATGAGTCGGGAATCTTTTCTTTTGTTGTTCGAAGAGCTGCGCTTTTGGACTTTATGCAATCCTCAGATAGAGAGATCTGGACAATGAATGAGTCACCTGCTAATCATACCACCTGCTGCTCCTGCCTGGGTTAGTCACAGCAAATCACCCCATCCAGGTATGCAGTGCTTAGCCCGTAGTAGGTTATTACTGAGTATTTTTTTTACAGATGAATGTATGACTGAAGGAAAGTGACTCACGTGTAAGGGAAGGCAGCCTGATTTATATAAAGTGTACTAGGTCTCAAGATACGTTTAAAAACGAGACCGTCATCTTGATTATTTTTGGACTAGGTTAAAAGTTTTACCAATGCCTACCCGATTAATTTGCCCTGGCTTCAATGACAGAATTCCCTTTTACACCCTGACCACACTACAGGTTTCTCTCGTCTTACGGCTCAAGCACAATAACTGCCCCCTGCTGAGTCCACCGCCCAGGAGCCCTGGTGGAGCCGCGGTTGAAGCGCTCGGCAGCTAACCAAAACGTTGGTGGTTTGAACCCACCAGCCCCCTCCGCGGGGCAAAGATGGGGCAGTCTGCTTCTTTAAAGATTTACAGGCTTGCAAACCCTACGAAGAATTCTACTCTGTCCTATAAGTCGTTATAAACTCCCCGATAGTGCGTTTCGTTTTTGGTTTTGGGGGTCCACGGGCGCTAGGCCCGGCGTACTGAGAGGAAGATGCCTTGGCCCCTCACCCCGGCAGCACCTCCCTGGGCTCCCCGCAGGGCTAGGGGCGTCTCCCGCATTCTCGCAGCCCGTGTCACAAGCCCCCTCGCCTCAGATCCCGGCGGCAACCTTCCGGCTTCCGCCGGGCCCATGGGGCCCGGAGGCGGCGCAGGGGAGCCCCACTTCCGCGTCGGCGGGCGGCGTGCTCCGTGACGTCACCGCGCCCTGACGTCAAGCCGACGTGCCGCACGGTCGCCCGGGAGACCGGGAAAGCCGTTTCGCCCCCGGCGGAGCGAAGACTAGGTGAGAGACAATGGCTTCCCTCAGACCCCGGATGACCCCCGTCCTTCCGCAGTACTGAAGCGGAGGTGTGCCGGCCCCGCGGCGCCGGACGGGGATGGGGTCCCGGCTCCCACCTCAGCCGCGCCCCGCTGCGCCCTGCTTGGTCTGCGCAAGCCGGCCCGGGCACCCCTCTCCCGGAGGGCCCGGCTCGGCCTCGCTCCCGCGCCCTCCCTGCCACGCAGGTCTCCCGGGAACCGGGGCAGAGGGACGGGTTTCCGAGGCCTCCCGGCAGTTCTGGCGGCCTCCACTCCAGGAAAGTCTTAGCACCTGACGGGCTGCTTCCCTTGCCCCTGACCTACCCGTGGCGGCGACTCACGCCAGGGGAACGGTTCTTTACGGAAGGGCCCGAATGTGCCCTGGTGTGAGAAAGGGAAGCGGAAGTGAACTGGAGGACGTTTCTGCGTTTGTGACATCTCCCTCGTCATCCTGTTGGCGAGTAGGTTCACTAACATCTATGTAGCTGCTGCCAGTTACCAGCGCACTCCTTGCCAAGGACAGCCTGTGCGTGTGTAATGTGAAAGAATAAAATGGGCTTATTTCGATCAAACACCCAAAGTAATCTAAGGATAAATTAAAAAATTAAAAATGTTCCGTCTTGCCAAAAGAGGGAGACCTTCCATCACCCCCTTTCTTGAAAAACCTAGTACTTGTGAATCCTTCTTCTATTACTTTAATATGTATTTAAAAAAAAAAAAAAAAAAAAAAAAAACCACGGCGTTGCAGTTGAGTCAATTCCGACTCATAGCTACCGTAGAGGGTTTTCAAGGAGGGGCTGGTGGATTTGAAATGCCGACTTTTTGGGAAGCAGCGGTAGCTCTTAACCGTTGTGCCACCAGGGCTCCAATATATATGTAATTCTTTTTAAAAGCCCAGAAATGTTTTTTTCTTGAAGGTTTGGTAGCCATTTCTTTAGAACATAATGAAGAAAGATAGTACCTTTGTCTCCTTGTCACCATGGGAGTTAAACGAGGTACCTTATTCCAGGCTCTAACTGCCTTGTCACAGAGATAAGTATTCCTTTCGTCAAAGGCAGTTAGCACGGATGGCATCTCCAGTTACCAGGTGAATTTAAGCTGAACTGTTAAAAGAATGTGTAGAAAATAGTACGTCAGGTCCTCTTAGTTGAGGACGAGGTTCCCATTTATCTTAAGAACATGGATGCTATGGATTGTATTTGCTTGGCTGTATAAAAAGGTGAGATTTCTTTTTGTAATCTCATCAACAGATTACCTATGATGTACATTGCAGTCTGGTTTAATGCTTATTCAATAATAAAATTTTCTTTCTGCGTTTGTGGAGAGGGTTTTCTGGGTTGGTAGGAGATTTTGATTTTTCCTCAGTAATCGGATCCTTCCAATTTCTCCCTTTGGTGTAATAAAGCCACAAAGTTAGACTAGATTCACAGATAATGAAGGTACCTAATAAAAATTGTTTCGATGTTGCTTTGTTTATACTGTGACTCAGATTCATCCTTTCAAATAATTTTATGGGTGAAACTTTAGAAGGAGAATTAGTTGGTAATTTTAGGGAAAATTCTACTCCTAGTAGAGATAAGATGGTACCATCTTATTTTATTGATGGTGAGTCTGTTATAAAATGGCAGAAATTAGAATAATGAGCCTTCTGGACACGTATCACTGTGACAATCTGTGAAATACCATATTATTATAATGTACATGGCTGTTTGGGCCTAAGTTGATATAATTAATCCTAGTTTTAACTTTACCAAAACACACATACACATCGTATTATGTTTTATGTAGGCAGACAGCCCGTTAGTTGTTTTAAACAGCAAGTCATTAAAACTAGGGGTCTTTGTACTTAACACAGATGATGGGGAATACTCTCTTCTTCCAAAGGTTGCACAATTTACAAAAATACTTCCATTGCAGGACTTTTTGCCAAGTACTATTTCCCTGCCACCTTGTTAGGGCTGAGTTTGCTCTCTCTGATACAGTACTATGCTTGGCTCAGTCTCTGTTAAAATCCTGCCCTGATCAAATGTCAGGAAGCCTTCACAAACTAACTCCCCACCCAAAGATAAGACATACTCCTTTCCTGAATTCCTAGATTGCTCCTTGTCTATAACTCACCACCTTCAGGCCTTCTTCCCTACTATGGAGTTGTACCAGTATCATCTTAGTTCACTGCCCCTCCCCCTTTAGGTATATATATAAATATCCCTCACTCAGGAAACGGGACAGTCTGTTTTTTCTCCACGTTTGGGAAGGATTAAACAACAACAACAGAAGAAAACTAAAGTGCTGCATTCATCCTCTGTGGTTTTACGACAACAGAGATAGAGTTTTATTAGAAAATAAAAATCTATTAAAAGTAAAATGTCCACATTACAATTATATAAATGTCTATCTTAGCTAAGATTGGCACTTACCTTCTGATGCTTTGACGACTCTTCGTTTGTGTGTTGTTGGGTGATGACAAGTCGGTTCTGACTCATAGCAGCCCTGTGTGCAATAGAACGAAACACTGCCTGGTCCTACACCATCCTCACGATCATTGCTATGTTTGAGCCTATTGTTGCAGCCACTGTGTCGGTCCATCTCGTTGATGGTCTTTTTGTCCCTGACCCTCTACCAGGCATGATGTCCTTCTCCAGGAACTGGTCCCTGCTGATAACATGTCCAAAGTCCGTGAGACGAAATCTCGCTATCCTCACTTCTAAGGAGCATTTAAGCTGTACTTCTTCCAGGACAGATTTGTATGTTCTTCTGAAAGTCCATGGTATATTCAGTATTCTTTGCCAACACCATAATTCAAAGGCATCAGTTCTTCTTTGGTCTTCCTTATTCATTGTCCAGCTTTCTCATGCATATGAGGCAATTGAAAATACCAGGGCTTGGGTCAGGCACACCTTAGTCCTCAAAGTGACATCTTTGCTTTTGAACACATTAAAGTGGTCTCTTGCAATAGATTTGCCCAGTGCAATGTGTCGTTTGATTTCTTGACTGCTGCCTCCATGGGTGTTGATTGTGGATCGAAGTAAAATGAAATCCTTGAAAATGTTAATCTTTTCTCCGTTTATCATAATGTTGTATACTGGTCCAGTTCTGAGAATTTTTGTTTTCTTTATGTTGAGGAGTAATCTATACTGAAGGCTGTAGTCTTCGATCTTCATCAGGAAGTGCTTCAAGTCTTCACTTTCAGCAAGCAAGTTTGTATCATCTGCATATTACAGGTTGTTAATGAGTCTTCCTCCAGTCCTTATGCCAAGTTCTTCATATAGTTTGGCTTCTTGGATTATTTGCTCAGCATACAGTATGGTGAAAGAATACAACCCTGATGCACACTTGTTTCTGATTTTAAACCACACAGTATCCCCTTGTTCTGTTTGAACGACTGTCTCTTGGTCTATGTACAGGTTCTGCATGAGCACAATTAAGTGTTCTGGAATTCCCATTCTTTGCATGTTATCCATAATTTGTTATGATCCACACAGTCGAATGCCTTTGTATAGTCAATAAAACACAGGTAAACATCTTTCTAGTATTCTCTGCTTTCAGCCAAGATCCATCTGACATCAACAATGATATCCCTTGTTCCATGTCCTATTCTGAATCCAGCTTGAATTTCTGGCAGTTCCCTGTTGATGTAAATGATCTTCAGCAAAATTTTACTTGTGTGTGATATTAATGGTATTGCTCGATAATTTCTGCATTCTGTTGGATCACCTTTCTTTGGAATGGCACAAATATGGATCTCTTCAGTTGGTTGGCCAGGTAGCTGTCTTCCAAACTTCTTGGCATAGACAAGTGAGTGCTTCCCATGTTGCATTCGTTTGTTGAAACATCTCAATTGGTATTCAGTTGATTCCTGGAGCCTTGTTTTTCACCAGTGCCTTCAGTGTAGCTTGGACTTCTTCCTTCAATACCGTCGGTTCTTGATCACATGCTACCTCCTGAAATGGTTGAACATCGATCAGTTCTTTTTGGTGCAGTGACTCTGTGTATTCCTTCCATCTTCTTTTGATGCTTCTTGTGTCATTTAATATTTTGCCCATAGAATCCTTCAGTATTGCAACTCTGAGGCTTGAATTTTTTCTTCAGTTTTTTCAGCTTGAGAAATGCTGAGCGTGTTCTTCCCTTGGGTTTTCTGTCTCCAGGTCTTTGCATATGTCATTATAATACTTTGTCTTCTCGAGCAGCCCTCTGAAATCTTCTGTTCAGCTCTTTTACTTCATCATTTCTTCCTTTTGCTTTAACTACTCTACTTTCAAGAGCAAGTTTCAGAGTTTCTTCTGATATCCATTTTGGCCTTTTCTTTCTTTCCTATCTTTTTAATGACCCTTTGCTTTCTTCGTGTATGATGTCCTTGATGTCATCCCACAACTCGTCTGGTCTTTGGTCATTAGTGTTTAATGCATCACATCTATTCTTGAGATGGTCTTTAAATTCAGGTGGAATATACTCCAGGTCACATTTTGGCTCTCATGGACTTGTTTGAATTTTCTGCAACTTCAACTTGAAGTTGCATATGAGCAATTGATGGTATATTCTGCAGTCAGCCCCTGGCCTTATTCTGACTGATGATATTGAACTTCTCCATCATCTCTTTCGACAAATGTAGTCCATTTGGTTCCTGTGTATTCCATCTGGCGAGGTCCACTTGTATAGTTGAGTTTATGTTGTTGAAAGAAGGTATTTCCAATGAATAGGCTGTTGGTCTTGCAAAACTCTGTCATGCAGTCTCCGACGTCGTTTCCATCACCAAGGCCATATTTTCCAACTACCAATCCTTCTTTGTTTCCAAGTTTCACATTCCAATCACCAGTAATTATCAATGCATCTTGATTGTATGTTTGATCAATTTCAGACTGCAGTAGTTGGTAAAAATCTTCAGTTTCTTTATTTTTGGCATTCATGGTTGGTGTGTAAATTTGAATAATATTCGTGTTAACTGGACTTCCTTGTAGGCATGTGGATATTATTGTATCACTGACAGTGTTAAACTTTAGGATAGATCTTGAAATGTTCCTTCTGACAATAAATGTGACACCATTCCTCTTCAGTTCGTCTTTCCCAGCATAGTAGTCCATATGACTGTTGGATTCAAAATGGCCAATACTAGTTCATTTCAGCTCACTAATGCCTAGATATCAGTGTTTATGCATTCCAATTCATTTTTGACAACTTTCAATTTTCCTAGTTTCATACTTTGTACATTCCGCATTCCTATTATTAATGGATGTTTGCAGCTGTTTCTTCTCATTTTGAGTTGTGCCACATCAGCAAATGAAGGTCCCAAAAGTTTGACTCCGTCCATGTCATTAAGGTCGACTCTGAGGAGGCAGCTCTTCCCCAGTCGTATCTGAGTGCCTTCCGACCTGAGGGTCTCATCTTCCGGCACTTTATCAGACAGTGTTCCGTTGGTATTCATCAGGTGTTTTTAAAAGTAGATTGCCAGGTCCTTCCTCCTAGTCTGCCTTAGTCTGGAAGCTCAGCTGAAACCTGTCCACCATGGGTGACCCTGCTGCTATTTGAAATACTGATGGCATAGCTTCCAGCATCAGCAGCACGCAAGACCCCACAGTATGACAAACTGACAGACGAGTGGGGGTTGCCTGTTTAGTACCTGCATGTCACATTTAATCTGGTTACTCTAAATATTTTTCTGCACTTCATCATGTAAACCAGCATTCATGCCACAATTGTTTTTCTTACCATCAGCTGAGTTAAATCACTATATTTAGATTTTTTTCTAGCAGCATTTCAGAAAAAAAAAAAAAAACCTTTTTGCACTGAAATAAATGAGTCTATTTAAAATGTGAAAGTGTTCCTTATTTTGTAATTGTGAAACAAATAATGAGTGGTAAACCACCAGAAATTACTAGTAGATAATAAGTTTTAAAGAAAGAAGATCTTACTGGTAACTCAGCAGTCACTCTCTATGGTTCCTTCCTATTCTGTTGGCCTAATAGCTAACTGAGAAGAACCCAGTTGTAGCATCTAACTCAATGCTGATGAAATGTCTGTTGAAACAGTCATCACTGATTCATCCCACGTACTCCCAAGAATTGACAAATGATCTTTTAATTTGAATTTTCTTCTCATTAAATTCTGACTGTTGCCATCAATGTTTTTAGATTATTTTACATCAGAGCTCTCTCAGTATATTCTGGGAAACTATGGATCGTCACATCCCCATGCATGCTTTACCTGAAGAAATCCAAAAGGTAGGACATTATATTATGAAGTTACAGCTTAACACCTGGTGTATTTTAGCAGCTAGATAATTCTAAAACCTAGGAGAATGAATTCAGAGGTTTAATATTTATTTTAGTCTTGGGATCTGTAATGAATTGGTGGAGAGGGGGAAGGAATAGTCATAATAAGCAGGATTGTAGAATTCATTTCAGTGGAAGAATGTTGGTCCCTGTGAAAGAAGACAGGTACATATTCCAGCCCAGTAGCATTTGTCCAGATGTTAGTGGAGCCCTTGTGACAAGAAGGCCCCAGGAATGTCTGTGTTTGTAACTTTTTATGATGCTAGATTTTTAGGTTTCTCTGTGTAATGGTCTATTTCAGTTTCACCTGTGCCAATTCTCACCACCAACTATGTGCCAAAGGAGCCCTGGTGGTGCAGTGGTTAAGTGCTCAGCTGCTAACTGAAAGGTCGGTAGTTCAAACCCACCAGCCACTGCATGGGAGAAAGATGTGGCAGTCTGCTTCCGTAAAGATTTACAGCCTTGGAAGCCCTGGGGGGCGGTTCTGCCCTGTCCTGCAGGTCGCTATGAGATGGAATTGACTCGACAGGAGTGGGTTTGGGTTTTTTTTGTTGTTGTTTACCGCGTGCCAGGCACTGTTTTAAGCCCTTTTATACATTATCAACTCACGTAATCTGGTTAGTAAACAGTTATTCAAGTTTTCTTGGCTACTCTCTTCCCTGCCAGTTCACATCTGTCTTCAGGCAAAAACATATCTCCCAGCTTTAGTCTGGCAATCCATCCATTTTCAAAAGTATAATTAAAAAAAAATCTCTTTGGAAATGATTGGCTTAAATTGTGAGTTAAAACCTTAAACCTTAGGTATCATTACTCATTCAGTTTTTTCCGTAAGTCTACAGTCAACTTGTAATTAACCACCAACCCATTAATTACATTTTAATTAAAAATTGCAGTCAGCTCTCAGGTATGCTTTTATTCATTGTGCCTGTTGCCTAGCGCGCCTGCTAGCATTCATCACGCCGTTGATTTAGCTTGATGGTTACTGTTAGTGCCTGTCCTTCAGATCTGTGTAAACTGCAGCCCAGCAGGAACTGGACAGGAAGTCCAGTTATCAGAAAAGAACTTTTAAACCATTGCATCTAAATCGCTTCACCTTTTGAGTTAGGTGTACGATGATAAGCACAGAGAGAGCTCAGCTATGCAAGCATATGCATAGCTTGTGCTCACCAGAGAAAAGACACTCATGGAATGTCCTTCCTTTCTCCCTCAACTGAGTTCCTTCTGCTTACTAGGCTAGGTGTGGTGGAGTTTAAAAGAAGCAAAACAAAAAACCTACCAGAAACAATACCGGCACTTCAGATACTAATCATCTGTCAGGAGGAGGATATATAATCACATAAAAAAACTATAAGGCAGTATATAAGTTTAGTAGCTATACCTGCTGTGAGAATGGAGCAGGGGAGAGGAACCCCTGAGGATGGGGATGGTCGAGGGAGCTCTGTGCACAGGGGGGCTAGAGTTGACCCTTGAAGGCTGAGTATTCTGTAGACAGATGGGGGGTAGGGCATCCTAGGCCAAGACAGCAAAGCTTAGCAGTGGGAATAAGATGGCCAAGTTAAAGAATGTTTAACAACTTAGAATATTTTGAATACATAAAGGAATATTTATTTTGATAAGATTTTTATGAGTGTCTTTTTGCCTGCTTACAGTTCTTTATAAGTAAATTGTTTAAAAAATGCAAAAAACCAAGCATTTCATAAATCTACAGTTGTATCTCAGACCAGGAATGGCAGCTGTCCAGATAATGCAGGAGAAGTAGGGACACGGGGAGAAGCTGAGCTGACCAAGGCCCGGGATAAGTATTCTGGTTGTAACCCTTGTCCTACTGAATGTCCTTCTGTCCTTGTTAAAACTTACCTCCTGATCCCAGAGTTTCACTTTTACAGATCTATTTGTACAACAAGTATTTACTGAGTGCCTATTATGTGCCAGACACTGGCCTGGTTGCCTGATTATAAAGCAACCAAAATGTGTACATGCATCCCTAAGTCTATAAAAGCACGGTCTTTAAGAATGAGTCTGCTATTTGTTTTCCCATAGCTTCTTACCTGTGTTTGCTTTATCAAGTTTATCAGAAATTTAACTTATTTAATTGCCTGGTGATCATCGGGCAATCACTGGATATGGAATGGACAAGTGTATCTATTTACTCAGCTTGCATATGTCATTCTATATAGAATAAAGTTTAAAAGATACATAGCTTGTAGTAATAACAGGAATAGTCGAGATTGGAACCCCTTTATTTTTAAGATGAAGAAAACAAAGATTCTTTTTGTAATAGCTTGGAAACTGTGTTCCATTTCTTTAAGAAGGATTTGAGATGGGTGAACTGGTGTGTAGCAAAGACGTCTTTCAAAGGTTTGTCTTCTCTTGTTCTGTTAACTTTTCGTGTTGGTTTTGCACGCTCGCTCCTCTTACTTGGAAAGCTCCTGCTGTGTTTTATTTATGTATTTATTTCTCTGTATTTAGGCAAGGAGGTTAGTATAGAATTAAGGGAAGAGAAGGTGACGCGAGTCTTATTTACGTTTGCTGTATGATATGGAAATAGGATGGCTGATAAACTAGAGTATGAAAATGTCTGTACTCTAAGATGCTATTAATAACACAGTGCGCCATAGTAGAAAAGGAGGAGTTGCAAGACAATGTAAAGATGGTGGAGGAGCCGGCCACCAGAGAGAAAGGGTGTGGAAGAATGTTGATAGTAAGCTACACTTAGAGAATCCATTGCCTGACTAGAATGCTGAAATTGTTAAAGCATCTTCCAGTCTCGTCTCCTCAGGGAATCATAGGGAGGAAGGAGTAAGATGACTCCCATTCCTCGGTCTTTTTGCTTTTCATCTAATTTCTGACTGAGCACAGATCAGAATTCCAACAGAATTCCATCTTCGTAAGTGGCAAAAAAGGTAATACCGGCCTGTCTTAGTTATCTAGTGTTGCTGTAACAGAAATACCACAAGTGGTTGGCTTTAACAAAGAGAAATTTATTCTCTCACAGTTTAGGAGGCTAGAAGTCTGAATTCAGAGTGCCAGCTCCAGGGGAAGCCTTTCTCTCTCTGTCAGTTCTGGGGAAAGGTCCTTGTCATCAGTCTTTCCTGGGTCAAGGAGCTCCTCAGCATAGGGACCCTGGATCCAAAGTACGTGCTATTCTCCTGGCTCTTGTTTTTTTGGTGGTATGAGGTCCCCATGTCTCTCTGCTCGCTTCTCTCATTTATATCTCAAAAGAGATTGATCTAAGGCACAACCTAATCTTGTAGATTGAGTCCTGACTCATTTACATAACTGCCTCTAATCCTGCCTTATTAACATCATAGAGGTAAGATATACAGCACATAGGAAAATCACATCAGATGACAAAATGGTGGACAGCCACACAATACTGGAAATCGTGGCCTAGCCAGGTTGACACATACTTTTTGGGGAACACAGTTCAATCCATGACAAGGCCCATAAGCTGGACAGCAAGACCAGGCTTGTCATCTTTACCTCCTGTTAGACTCTACAGTTGACTTCTGTGTATACTTAGACTGTATCCCTAAACCTGCTCTCTCTCCAGGCCTGAGCTGGCTCGTACCTAACCAGCAGCACTGCTGGAATTTTCACCCAGCATTCTGAAAGCAGAATGTGCTTTAATAATAGTACGGTTCTGTGTTTTTATTGCTACTGTGTAAAACTAAAGCATCATTTATAGATCAACAAAGTAATAGTTCTGTATCTCTTCCCGTCAGGTAAGTCAATCCATTCGAGAGACATATAGACCCCTCTTTCTATAAGAAAGCAATGAACAGTTTTCCCTTTGCTGTGCTTGCTGGAGGTCATATGCAGAAGTCAAAACAATAGCAACAAACTAGTGGAAAAATTAGTTATTTTGCAAGAATGCAACTGAACTCTTGTTTTTTTAACAAGTGACAAAACGAACACTTGTAATAGAATTTTAGCTCCAGGAGGTCTTTATTACCCAGGACACAAAGTAAAATAAAGAGACTAAAGTTGTTTATTTTGCAAAACAGAAGTGGCAGTGCTGAAGAGCACACTGTTCTTTCTGGGATAACAGTCCCTTTCCCCGGCAGTAACAGCTCATTTTGTCCTGTTTCAGTAAAGTGATTTTAGTACTTTGGAACTTTGAAATTTATTCAGAATAACAGGTTTATATTTCCAAGCACAGATTGTCGTTGCCAGAAAAAATAAACTTAATTTTCCAGGTCATTTTGGGCCACTGTGGCTAGGGTCAGATTTTGTATTGAGTTAGAGTAGAGGAAGAGGAGAAGAAAATGGCCACAGAAATGTCAGCACTAACACCCTGCAAAAGTGGGCATATGTGTGTGTCTGTATGTGGGGGACATGTGGTGTGTTGTTTAGCAATTGTAGTTTTAAAGCCTGATAAACAAAAGAAGTAGGAAGCGATATGATTTTTGGAGAGAACATTCACTTAATATTGTGATCCAAGGTCGTTTACTGAGAAAGACAGTTCTTTCAAAATATTACTCTGTATCGTGAAAAATCTGCATTTGTCAGTTTGTAGTCAAGAACACTTCTGCTGGCTGGCCATAGAGGGTCACAGAGTTTACTAAGATGAGGTTTCCTGGTGGAAAAATAGGTATTGGAGGAGATATAATTGGGAAGCATATTTAAATAGACATAGGTATGTCATAGATAATGAAATCAGCATTTATTGAAATGGCTCAATGTCTTTTTTTTTCTTATTGTACTTTAGATGAAGGTTTACAGAACGAACTATTTTCTCATTAAAGAATTAGTACACATATTGTTTTGTGACATTGGTTACCAACCCCGTGACATGTCAACACTCACCCTTCTCAACCTTGGGTACCCTATTACCAGCTTTCCTGTCCCCTCCTGCCTTCTAGTCCTTGCCTCTGGGCTGGTGTGCCCCTTGAGTCTTGTTTTGTTTTATGGGCCTGTCTAATCTTTGGCTGAAGGGTGAACCTTGG